GACCTGTCATGTGTTCCAAAAGACTACAGGGAGGGAGATTGGAGTGGAAGTGGGAGAGGGTACCTGTCAAATTCGGGTACCTGCTTACCCCCCCCCCCCCCCCCGCCCCCCAAAGATGCCAATCCTTAATGGGGAGCGGAGGAGCAGTCCTTAAAGCGTAACTTCCCCTTCTGGGTGGAGCTCCGCTTTAAATGTAGACACTACTTGGATGTGTTGTGCACAGACCGGGAGGGGGAGATCTACAGGATGCACGGGCATCAACACCAATTTATGCCAATTCATTTTAAAGCTGGAAAAAACTACCAAAACGTTCAATAAGGAACATAACAGCATCTAAGGATGTGGAAGTATCGCCCAAATATAACAGTGTGTCAACCGCATAAAGGGATATCTTTGCCGAAAGAACGCCCCTTGTAAAACCGACGATGTCCGGAGATTGTCACATTAAAATCGCCAAAGGTTCTAATGCCAAAGAGAACAAAAGGGGTGAGAGAGGGCAGCCCTGCCTCGTCCCCCTCTGCAGCCTGAATGAATCAATCTAACAAATCCCTGTTAACCTGGATTTGGGCACTAGGGGTCAAATAGAGAAGACGCACCCAACCAATGAACTTGGAGCCAAAGCGGAATCTAAACAATACTTCCCATAGATAAGGCCATTCCACACTATCAAATGCCTTAGCAGCATCCAAAGATAAAATTTCCCTCCCCCCAGGATTGTCCACTGGAATTTGCAAATTCAAAAAAAGTCTGCGAATATTATTAGCCATCGCTCTAGAAGGAATAAACCCCGACTGATCTTTATGTATGGTATCACCAATAATCCACGCCAGTCTAGTAGCTAGAACCCAGGCCAACAGTTTAGAGTCCATATTCAGAAGGGAAATAGGTTGGTAGGAGTCAGGTTTTAATCAATCTTTTCCAGGCTTCAATAGTACTATAATAAAAGCTTCATTCATGGTCGGGGCAAACCATTTCCATCCATGGCGGTATTCAGGGCATTGAGCAATGCCGGGAGGAGTTGTACACAGTATTTATTATAAATTTCAAATGGCAATCCGTCTGAGCCCGGGGATTTATTACTGGGGGTGCCTACTAAAGCTTCAGATAGCTCCTCAACAGTAATTGGCATCTCTAGTTCTCTCTGGTCAGTCTCCAATAAAACAGGAAAAGAGCAGATGTCTAGAAACTGCAAAAGCTCAGAATGGGTGGCTACAATTTTAGAAGCATACAGATTGTCGTAAAAATTATGAAAAAAATCTCAGGATTTCCGCATGGCGCATGCAAATCACTCCATCAGCATCCTCAATCTTGCCTATACTAGACACCCCTGTTGTGACTTTGCCACGAGAGCAAGAAGGTGCCCTGTACTTTCCCCCTCCTCTAAATATTTTTGTTGCAAAAACTATCACTTCTTATCAGCCACCTGAGTAAGCAATGATTCATAAAGGGTCTGGGCCTCTATCCAGGAGGTGCAGTTAAGGGGGCTTGGGTCTTGGATCATCTAAGCTTCCCGCTGTCGAACATCTAACTGTACCTTCTCCTCCCACTCCCTGGATCTACTCCCAGATAATCAAGCCCCTCAGGAAGGCCTTCATCACATCCCAAAACATTACTGGCAGGGACAGGCCTTCATTCCGCTGCAGAAAGTCTGACAACTCCCCCACAATCAACTTGGATTTCGGAAACAGCATCAACCAAAATGGGTTCACCTTCCACAGCGGACTAGAGCAGGTATAACACACCTGTAGCTTGACCCAGAAAGGGGCATGGTCAGACAGAGCCCTGGGTTCATACACAGCATCAAAACACATATGGCAGGATAATCGAGTTTCAAATCTATGCATGAAAGCCCATCATGAGTAGCAGAGAAACATGAACATTTTGCTGTCGGATACTTCATCCGCCACACATCCCGGAGGCCATTTCCACCAATAAATTGGCAAATGGGGTAGACAGAGGATAATTGTCTGCCCCTACCACCCAAGGGCAATCTATCCAAACTAGGGAGTAAACAATTGTTATAATCACCCAACGCCAATAGGGGAACATCAGGATGATTAGCCATAAATTGAGCTAGACGTTTAATGAACTCTGAAGAGTAGGCCCTCCGCATCAATCCACTCCTGCACATGAACAAATTGAACAGAGTTAAGAGATGAGGATACACAAACCTCTAGAAAACATGGAGTAGAAAGAATGATATTGTATGGGAAATAAACGAGAGCGGAGGGTACCGACAGTATCAGCTTTCAAATAGGTTTCCTGCAAACATACTACAGACGATTTTAAATGTTTAAGTACATGGAAAAGAGCACCCCGTTTGGTTCTATCACCCAGGCCCCTTACATTCCAGGATAAAAACATCAATTCTTTATGGGAGACAGACATAATACATATGGAGAAAATAGGAAGGATAACACAGTCGTGGACAGATATAACGCCCCCCGAGGGGAGCGGTGAGTGGATTGGCAGTAGGAGGGACCCAGATCACATGGGTCAGGGTGGCGAGGAGGACACCCGAAGGAAGCAGGGAAGACAGACCCAGTAACATGTGCTTAACTAAATTTAGACATCCCAGGTGAACCATAAAGAAAACAAGGGAGAATACTGAAATTATTACCAACATGTAGGCCAACAGAGCCATAATAGTAGTGACTGAAAACAGTGGCAGGAGGCCAAAAGGTCCCCTCAGGACCAAAAACAGGTTGGAGTTTACACAATGTCTCATGGACAAGCACACAGCAGGTAAATGTAGCGAAAGTATGAGGGGAGGAGCCCCAACTTAAGCGCAAAAAAGAAATCAGAAACAGTTCTGCCAAGCTGAGTTTAAGGCATTAAGGATCAACCAGGTCCCCAAGGTCAAGTTCCAGAGGAGTTTGCCAGGCAACGTTCTGCTCCATCCAGCCACTGTAAGGCTGCATTAGGACTATGAGAAGTGAGAAGCGTCATCCACAGGCACTCAAAGTTTAGCTGGATATAGCATGGCAAATTGAAGGCCCAATGCCCGAAAACATTTCTTGACATCCAGGAATTTTGCACCTTGCTTTTGAACTTTCACAGAAAAATCTGGAAATAAGGATACTTGAACATTATCAACTGACAGGTTACCCTTGCTTCTGGCCCTGGAGAGAATGGTTTCTCTGTCCCGATAATTGAGGAGTCTGAACAAAAAGGGCCGAGGAGGAGCGCCGACTGGAGGAGCACGTGCTGGAACTCTGTGCGCACGTTCTACTGCAAACATGGGGGAGAATGCATCACTGCCAAAGGTAGAGGTCAGCCAGGCTTCAATAAAGGCTACAGGATTTTTACCCTCAGTGCGTTCCAGGATACCCACTACGCGCACATTGTTGCGGCGTAACTGATTTTCCAAATCTTCCAATCTAGAGGCATTAGTAGAAGCGATTGATTGCACATATCGCACGTCCCTATGTAATGGTTGCCAATCATCTTCCAGAGTACTCACTCTCCCCTCCAGGCCGCAGTGCAATCCCGCAATTTCTGCATATCTTGACGCACCAGGGTCAATTCCATCCTCATCCCCTTCACCTCCCCGGTAAGAACAGCTACAGATGAGGTGCATGTAGTGACTGCGGACAGAATCTCTCTAAGGGTGGGTTCAGGATAATCTTCAATGGAAACAGCAGGCTGTGTCCCATGAGACTGCGATGGTGGGATACTCACTGCGGGACTGCAGGATGGGATCTCTCGGTCTGCCAGTGCAAGAGGGATCTGAGTACAGCCTGCACAGTCTACGGCCGGATCAGTAGCAGAGTCCAAAAGTTGTTTCTGGGAAGTTTCTCTTTTGAGCAGCCTCAATGTTCTTCTCCTCGGATGCACAGATCGGGGTACCGCTATCTTGCCCAGCCGACTCAGGCAAGGTCCAAATTTCTTTCCCCCTTTTAGCCATCTCGGATCAGGATAAACGGGGCACCAAGTGACAGCAGGGAGGTCAGAGCACACCCTGGGGACCCAAGATGCTGTTTTAGCTGGAGAACGAGGTGCCAATCAGGATAAAATACAGGATGCAGAGTGATGAGAATGGTAAACAGGACAAATGAAGAGAGGGTGAATCTCCCTAACAGAGCACAGACAGCAGTAACCTGACAGGTGTTCTAATCAACCTCCACTCCAAAAAAAGTTTGCCTTTAGTTGTACTATAAAAATGTAACTAGCGTTAACAAGGGTTGAACCTGTAGCTATTTTTGTTAAAAGGCTTCCAATTCACACAGAACCCTCATTTATGAGCAATGGCTACAACTGTAGCTTTAATCCATATATTAATGACAAGCAGGACTGAGTTGTCACACTGTCAACACAGCGCTACAGATTACACTGGGAGACTGGGTCTTCAGTCTCAAAGATGGGCAGTTCAAACTATACGTGTGATGAAACATGCAAAAACATATTGCCATCAGGGAAAGCAGCATTTCAAAACAAGTAATAGATGCAAAGGTAGCCAAATGTACTTTAAATCTAGATTTTTCTTGCAGCAGGCAAGAAAAATCTCGCCCTTCCCTTAAGAAGTTTTAAAGGAGAGATACACATTGAAACAAAGTGCTCTTATCCTTTTTGCCTCTCACCCCTGACCTAAACCACTTAACAGAAAGTCTTTTGTGTACTAAGAGAAAAAGTGTCCCTTCCCTCCAATCAGCTCTCAGAGACCTCCACGCTGAGCTCTGCAGTGTGTCATTTCAGTTCTCTGTCCCCTTTTTTCTGAATTCTCAGAAAAGCTTTACAAAATTAGGCACTTTGAACGGATGTAGAGAAGAGAGGCCTGCAGATAGACAGGTACAACCTACGTAGGAGGATTTGTTTCATTGCATCACCTGAGGCCAACCACTTGGTATAAGTAAAGGTTTTCAACCACTTTAAGGGGGTTTTGGGTCAGGGTGGAGTGATCAAAAAGAATGATACTTTGTTTGATCCTTTACTTTTTTTTTTTTTTTTTTAAGAATATCAATGCTATATACGAAAATCAAAGTTAAGGTAAAGTTGCCTACCACATATCCAAATTTGGTTTTAACTTCTTGACCAGCTGCAGCGATATAGTCCTTTGCCTTAGGCAGGACATCTAGCAATGCTTTTCCCCATTCATGTGGAGGCTTGCGGTTTACAGCGTAAGAAGTGAAGAGTGCGGCCGCCAATGAACCAAGATATCCAGTAGGGTGATGATGGGTCATCCTGCCACTTTCTATGCTCACCCGGATCAAGTCATCAAGTTGTTCTGGATTAGGAAATCTCAGTCCAATACACATTGCACGCATGGCTGCACCACATCCACCTCCAGCCTTATTAAATGGAATTTTCCATCCATCTGGGACCTCAGGCTTTAACATCTCGGTACTGTGTATGCAGGTTAAACCTGGTAAAAATCAAATAATAGTTTAAAATGATTACAATAGTATTATGAATGTTTCCAACTAAATCTTGCCAAGTATAGACACATTTTAGAAATCTGGCAGCTAATCTGAATTGAAATACTAGATCAAGGCAGGCTGGATTAACCCTAACATTCTGCTTGACTATAAACAAAAATCATTTAGTTACAATTTCTACCAAACTTTCCCAGTTTGAAGCATCTGTTCTGATGTAAAAAGCCTGTTTGAGAAATCTACAATGCAACCCAGGAATGAAAGAATTGCACGTTTCACCTGAGACTTCTCACTCAGGCATTTTGCGTTTTGACAAGTTATGTTCAAGGCATGTACATAGTTATTACAAGCATAGTCAAAACAATACATTACCTGACTCCTAATACTTCTGTATATCAAGGTTTATAAATGAAGACAGCGAGAAAGGCAATGAAAAGTCCCTAAGTGTAGTAAGCCACAGTAATTTACCAGGTTTACTTTACTGTAGTCAATATAGTCAGAAGATGATTCTGGAGACTTATGCATTGCCTTTTAGCCTTACTGAGAAAACCAAACTATGTTTTTTCTGGTTTGGGATCACATTGTCGCATGATTTGGGTGTAGGTTTTGCATGCAGCACAGTAAAGAGATGAAGGACAGCCAAGTTTGCAGCAAGGGTAAGGCTCCATGTATAAAGTAGTAGGACCTTGCTGTGGCCATATTGCTAAAACAAAAACCCCCAAAAAACAAAACAATGGACATTTAACCACTTGACCTCTGGAAGATTTACCCCCCCCCCCCCCCCCCCCCCTTCCCCTTCCCCATTCCTATCCAGGCCATTTTTTGTGATATGGCACTGTGTTACTTTAACTGATAATTGCACGATCATGCAATGCTGTACACAAATGAAATTTCTGTAATTTTTCCCCCAACAAATAGAGCTTTCTTTTGGTGGTATTTGATCACCACTGCATTTTTTTCCATAAACTTTTTATTGAAATATAACACAATACAGAGAAAGTCATGTCAAATTAACATAGACAGGTACAGGTGCAAAATGTCCAAGTTGCTGGGGACAGACGTTCAGTTACATGATATAGAAAAATGTGTCTAGGAGTCAAAACACTCACATATGAAGCAAACACATATATACATAGGAAAGCATTAACCCATATAGCTGAACTGTAGGGATACAAAATAGGCTGCTTTCAAGAAACCTCTCAAAGTGGCCATGTCTCTGGATAAATAGTAGAATCCAAGACTCATCTACCATACCAAGGAGCAAGCCAGGTACCTGCCAACATGGCTAAGTGAAACAACAGTTGTTCATTACAGTGGAAACAAACCCCAAAAGAGGAACTGGAGACAGCAAGATGAACTCCAGAGTGAAAGGAAGTTGAGCAGAAGAGAAGATGACTAAGAAAAGAGGGGGTGAAAGGGAAAGAGCGGGGGTAAGAAGGAGGGAAAGGGAAAAAAAAAAAAAGGGGGGGGGGGGGAAAGGTGGTGGTTGGGGGAGAAGAGGGATACACTCTCACACAACACTCCCCTAGTCAGGGTTAGAAAGATAGAGATGTGCTACTACCAGAGGACTCACCAAGGGACCCATCACAGGTTTACCAGAAAGAGCTTCAGCCTTGCCCAATGGAGCGAAGTAATTCAGCATATTCAGGCTGAGTTTGGTAATGAAGCCAGCATGTGTATACTGTGTGGAAATGCGTGATCCTCTCTTGAGAGACATGTATCAGTTCCTTCATTTCCTTGATTTTGTTGATGTGCCAGTACCACTTGACCACCGTGGGAGCTTGGTTTGTTTGCCAATGGACACGGATGCACATTCTAGCAGCATTGATCATGTGCTTAACCAATGACTTAAAGTATAGATGTTTGGACAAACCAGAGTGGTGTAACAAGTACTGTGCAGATTCCCGCAACAGCAGTGGTAATATGGTGGACTTCCGTTGTTAAAGGTGGGCACAGCCACCATATATACAATAGCGTTCCAGGTGCGGATATACACCGCCATGCTTTGTCCGACATTGACCAACCAATGGACCACAATTGGGGTACGGTACCACCTGGTTTGCAGCTTATATCCGTTTTCCTGAATATTAACGTTCAGTGTACCTTTGTGTGTAGTTAGACATATTCCATCCCAGTCCTCCTCCTAAGAGTGATGTCCAGGTCCTTTTCCCACTTAGAACATGCATTAGCTCCAGAAGGAGACAAGGTGGGAAATAAAGTCGATTAAATGGAGGAGATCATATAAGCCTGGGGCTGCTCTGAGGAGCAGGCATTTTCAAAAGCCATTCTAATTCTAACAAATAAGGCACGGGTTTGAGGTGCATTAAGAATATGTCTGATTTGAAAATAGGCCCAAAAAGGCATTTGTTTGTCTGGGTCCCGGGTAGAGAGTGCCAAACAGTCCACAAATCACCCTCTATTGGAAATCTGGGTTGAACTACAAGAGTGTAAGTGGCCCAGAAACCAACAAAATAGAGTAGGATTTGCAGGCTTGTCGAAAGATTTGGAGAATCTGTCCCAAAAGAGGGTGAGCTTTCAACTCCTGTGAAGCGTGTGCTGAGGGTACCCAAGGTAGAGCATGTAAGGATATCTTAGAAAACAGCTGTTCCACTGGAACCCAAGCTTTGACCCGGTTATGAACAGACAAGTCAACCACTCTGCCAAGTGGCAGTCCCAGTGATATTTTTTAAGGTCCAGAAGACCACCTCTATGTTTGGGCTTGTTCTTTTGCCAAAGAAACGTAAGCATGGCATGTTTTAGAGAGGAAATGAGGCCACCAGTAAGGCTACAGGAACAGTCTGAAAGACATACAGGAAGCACGGCAGCATATTCATTTGATTCGTGCTGAATCACGAGTAGCAAGACCAGTCCCACTCTCTTAACTATGTTAGACAGGAGTGGGTGAAAGTTGCATCTATAGAGATCCCATAAATCTGCAAGTAATTGAGTTCCCAGATATGTTATTATGTCTTTTTTTCCACCTAATGGGAAAGTGGCACATACAGTAGGACAGTTCCTCATCAGGCAGAGATATATTAAGAGCGTGGGTTTTGAAATACTTGATGGATAAGTTGGATAGGGATTGGAAATAGTCCAGCTCCCACTGTAGTTTAGGCAGAAAAAGACCAAGGTTCGGTTAAAAACAATAATATGTCATCCGCAAAGGTGGCCAGTTTCATCTCTCCTCTCTGCGTCTGGACCCCTTGTATCAAGTGGTTGGCTCTAAGTGTCTGAAGAAAGGGTTCTAAGGTAAGAATAAAGAGAATTGGTGAGAGCCGGCAACCTTGTCTCATGCTGTTGTATATCTGGAAGGCGTTCGATAGGTGGCCATTGGTTCGCACTCGCATTAATCAGAGAGATAGGTCTATGTTTCTCAATGCGTGTCACCTCTTTACCAGCTTTTGAAATAGGAGTAATGTTGGCCTCTAGAAAAGCAGAAGAGGAGTTAGGAGAGTCTATGAGGGAGTTAAATGCCTTCAGGAAATGGGGGGCCAAGACCGATTAGGAACACTTACAATATTGAACTGGCCAGGGATTTTGCCTGACTTCATCTGTTTTAGAGCCAGGTCCAGTTCCTTTACAGAAAGAGGGACCTCCAAAATTTGAGCTTGCAACATTGACACAGCTGGAGGGCCATGTTTAGCAAGAAAGGTGGTAATTTTTGCCTTTCTAGTGGCCACCTCCTTTGGGGATAGAAAGTTTGACTGCAAATTGTATAGAGATTCATAATACGTTTGGAACTGTCAAACAATCAAGTTCAAATTGTGATGGAGCACACCTGCCCTGTCTCGGATGGAATGAATCTGTAAGGCCACTCGTTTGGAATGTAAAGACCTGGCTAGCATTCTCCCGCTCTTGTTTCCCTGCTCATAAAAAAGCTTCTGCAACAAGAGAGGGTTCCTTGTTGTATGCAGACCCATCTCATCCTTAAAGTATCACTAAACCCACAACAGTAAAATCAGTCTGTATATGCAGTAAAGCATGCTTGTTATACTCACTGCGGAACCTAAGGGATCAATCTTCTGCATTGTGTAAAAAGGCTGTTTGATCCTGACTTCTCTGATCCTCCTCTTCTTCCAGTGTCCCGCTCTTATCTCCTGACAAGACATATTGTGTGGAGTCACTCTGCACATGCTCAGCTTGGTGTGTATTGCTAGAGAGGTTTTTTTTTTTTCTTGGGAGAGTGCATGTGATCAGCACAGGGCCAATCAGCACTGCCCAAACAGAGGTCAGGGATTCCGCATCCTCCGAGAGCAGAAAGAAAACTTCTCCTACAAACCTTAACATGTGCTCGGCTGGACACTGACAGAAGTCACAAGACTGCTCTAACTGCTGATGAGAAAAGGTATTTAGCAGTTTATATTTACCAAAATAATTGCATTTCCATGTTCTGTGTACTCTGGGAGACCAGATATAGTGAATGCAGAGTCCTGGGTTTAGTAACATGTTACGCTCCAATCTGAGTTGAGTCAGCTTTGTCAGAATCGATTGCACCAGAAAGAGCTTGTAAGCTTGCTACAGCTTTGCTATTTCGAACAAGAGGTCTTGGACCTTTTGCTGCTGCTCTTTTTTTAAGAGTTGTCTGTATAGCAAAAACCTCTCCTTGGATCACACATTTGTGTGGCTCCCACTGCGTCAGTGGACAGGCATCCAGCGTATTATTAGGGTAAAGAAAGATTGGAGATTTGCCTGCAGTGCTTGCACTCGTAGAGGGTTGCGAAGAAGAAAAAAGTTCAGCTTCCAAAACTTTGATTTGAATTCCTGTTCAGGGAATGTCAGGTTCATAGAAATAGGGTGATGGTGCAAGAGGACCGTAGGTTCAACAGTGGCGGAAGTGAGATATTTCAAGTCGGCTTGGGACAGGAAAAAGTAATTGATGCGCAAGTACTTTGGGTGCGGAGAAGAGAAAAAGGTGTAATCTTTGACTGAGGATTAGAGTATCTGCCAAGAATCATTATGTGAGAGATCTGAAAGGCAAGTTTTCATTTTACAGATTAAGGGGTGGATCTTAAAAAAGAAGAAGTGGGACAAATTTAGATAGGGGGTTGCCTGATTTTAGTCTTGCCTAGGGAAGCACAAAACCAAAATACACCCCTGATGGGGATGTCAGTGGCAGTTAGTCAGTTCCCATGCAATGTCAGAATGCCTTCCGCAGTCCTGCTATAAATTCGCTGATCGCCGCCAATACTAGTATAAAAAAATAAAAAATTCCAGTATATATACACCGCCATTTGTAGATGCTATAACTTTTATTATTATTATTCTACAGGATTTATATAGCACCAACAGTTTGCTCAGCACTTTACAATATAACGGGAGACAATACAGCAACAATACAGTTCAATACAAGAGGGTTAGGAGGGCCCTGCTCCTTGGAGCTTACAATCTAAGACTTTCACGTAAACCTATTATACACTTATTGGGACTTTTTTTAGCAAAGACATGTAGCAGAATATATTTTGTCCGAAATTTTTAAGAAATTTAATTGTTTTTTATTTTTTATTGGATATGTTTTATAGCAAAAAGTCAAAAATATTGTTTTTTTTTCAAAATTGTTGGGCTTTTTTTGTTTATAGCACAAAAAAAAAAAACGCAGAGGTGATCAAATACCACCAAAAGAAAGCTCTATTTGTGGGTAAAAAATGGCATAAAGTTAATTTATGTACAGCTTTGCATGACTGCTCAACTGTCAGTTACAGTAATGCAGCTCCGTATAGCAAAAAACAGCCTGGTCAGGAAGGGGACTAAATCCTCTGCAGGGTAAGTGGTTATACTGCAGCTTACCGATTCTTAGACGTGTTGTCTGTATTAGTTTTCCTTTTTAGGATTTCTATTTTAATTTGGTGATCCAGCCAGTAAGTCTGTTGTTTTTCAAAAGAACAAGCTCTCCAGCAGAATGTATCAGTTTACATAACACTGGAAGGGATGATAAAAATGATCAGCTTTTATTTATTCATGTAAAACCTTTATCCTAAAAGGAAAAAAAAAAAAGTGTTGCTGTAGCCAATTATAAAGTGAGAGCTGGAGTTTTGCTTCAATTTGTTACTGCTTTCAAATCTGCTAAAACATTTAAAATTCCCTCCCGCTAAACTGACAATGCTGCTGTCTGCTGTGCCTCCTGTACTTATTTATCCAGAGTTGAGTCTCACTATTACAGGAGGCATGTTACTGGCCAGATCACCAGGTGAAAAAACCAGATGAAAGTGATTCAACCACCACATCTAATGATTGGTAAGCTGCAATATATACCATTTGTGGTTTTTGGTTTAATACCACTTTGGACGAATTTGGTGATAGAGCCATTTTTGGCCTATAACGTCATTCAAAAAAAATGATCACATTAGTACTTTATTTACAGGAAACTTATACTAAGGAAGTAGCTGACCTCTCTTGAAATACTACATGTCTGTTTGCAGGGCCGACACCAGCAATAGGTAGCTCAGGCTGCTGCCTTAGGGCACCAGGATGGGGGGGAATACTAACCCCAGACACTTGCTGGGGATTCGGATGTTTGAAATACTCATTTTCTGTTTAGGGCTGGGACAAGGTACGAGTGCGAGGCATGGAAACACTACAGGAGGGGGGCAGCAACTTGGGTGAGTTTCGCACAGTGTACTCACACACAATCCACTTTCTTCCCCATGGATTTCAAAGGACACTGTGTATCTTCTTAACTCCCGCCCCTTCAATGACAGCCTCTCTTGCTGGTCCTTTCAGGGTGGAGGGAGTGAGAGGAGAAAGGCACACTCTGATTAGCCAAGGGTGTCATCCATCAAAAACACTGTCTTTGGCTTCTCACATGGCAGCGTGGAATGTGTCAGTGTGGAGGAGAACTGCAGGCAAAAGCACAGCTGTGCAGAACAAGAGATGGGGGGGGGAAGGCTCCTAGTCTCATCTATGATCATATGCTATCAACAATCGATCCACACATGGACAGCAAGGACATTCTACATGATGGTGAGCCACAATTGGTGTTTGGTGTCGCTTACTTTTACACTGAATAGTAAAGGAAAAGGTAGAAAAGGTGAGGGCAGCCAGAATCAGTGAGCACCATTGTAAAGATATGATAACAAATCATGACCTTTGAACATCTACTAATGTTTAACGCATTCCTTCCTTACTATATTAGCAAACTTTATACATAATTTGTTTAATTTTAGAGCTCAAACCATATACATGCATGATTTTGTGCATCTTCGGCAGCCTATTAATTTCAATTGGCTGGCAAACAAAAACTAGAGGACAGCAGGCACAAATTTTAAAATTGTACCTCATCAAACCCCACAGTACGGAGGAACTTTGCTTTCTAGTGGTTGCGCAGGCATTGCATTTGTTAGATGCATGGGTTGCCATTAGGAACTAGGGACAACTGCACATGTCTGCAAATGGCAGTGCACAGGGGCGGACTGACCATTCAAGCACTCGGGCACTGCCCGAGGTCAGTAGGGGGCCCCAGGAAATGCCCGTAGCAGTGCATTTCTGTGCAGTTTGGGAAAACACATGCATGTGTGTTCCCGCACTGCAGTTTGTCTGAACAAGTCCTTAGGATTAAGGAAGTTTAGATGACTTTTGTCCTTTTCACTTTGAGGGCTCGTTCACACCAGATGTGTTTTGCTGTTGATCTGCATTGATCAACACAGGCTAAACATGAACAGGGAGAGAGAACATTGTTCTCCATGTTCCCTGTTCACACCATACATGAGTGTTGGTGTGTGCCATTTTTATCACAGCCCAACTCAAGTCACCATAGCACATACAGATGAATGAATGGTCTTTCAATAACAGTGCGATGCATTTTAACAACATATTTCACTGCCCCTTTACAACATACACTGGCAGGCATGCATCAAATGAACCATAACATGTGCCCACTAGTATGAATGGGCTCTAAGTGCTAGTACCACTTCACTTTCTCTAGGCCAGTTACAGCATCTCCCACGCACCTCTCTTTGGTCACGGTGCCTCTTGGCTGTACCTTAGAGAACACAGCACCTCTGAACCCGAACCTTTCCTCCTTATTCCACCCACCTTTTACTCCCTCCAGAATTTTCCTCCTACCAATCTCCCCCCCACCCAATTTCATTACCCTGTGTGCCATGCACCTCTCACCCCTCAGATCACCTTCCACCTCATACATCGCCTCTTCCTGGAACCCCCATCCCTCTTGAACCCCAGCATTGCCATCCCTCCTTCCCTTTGGTGGGGAGCGGGGCGCAGCTTGGTATCTTTGCCCTGTGGACCAAATATTGTCACAGCACTGCTTCTTTTTCCTATGTATCCTCACCTCACTGCCCAAGCAGGGAATGCATAAACCTGCCAATTCATTGCACACTGCCATTTAGTGGCAGTTCAGTACAGCTCAAATTTTCAATTCTGTGTGATGTCCTGCTCACTGGGAACAAAATAAAGGAGGTACCAGTGCGGCTGTAGACAGTGAGAGACTGTGGGGAGTTTGCATTGTGGAGGGGAGGGGGTGGCAGGAGGAGGGTGGTGGTGGGGGGGGGGGGGGGGGGGGGGTGTCAAAATGCACTTTCGCCCCTGTAGACAAAAATCCTTGCGCCGACCCTGTCTGTTTGTCATGCTTCAGTACTTTTTCTGAGTCAGTGACCTGGAGCAGGTATACATATCAGGGCCTTGACTAATCAGCATGCCTGTTCTGGATCATTCACATCATAGAGAGCCAGAGTGGCACTAACATTTTCAGAAGGAGGTCAGCATTAATATTTGTTTGCATTTCCCCCAACACAGGTTTCTGTTAATAAAATATATTGTCGGACTACAAAAAGGTATATATATGCTTGATGCCCTTTCTGAGTTTCTTTCAGGTTGGTGTAGTAATCCAGCACCACTTCTGCCCTTTGCCTCTGTGCAGGAGCTTCCTGTAGTAAAAATGGTCACTGCTGCGCTCTCTCCTTGTGCAGGGTGACTTGGCTTGTAAACTACAAGCAGCCATGCCCACACACATCGCATAGGCATCTTCCAACTCTTGATGCCATCAGAAAACCTGCCCCAACAATTGCCATCCAGCCATTACGGGAGGACATGCATTTAGACAAGTAGTGGTTATAAAGAAGCTGCAATTCAGTTGCTTATATTACACAATGCTGAAGCAAAATAAAACGTAAATCATTTAGGGCTTACATATACTCTAAGCTTACCACATTGATATTAATTATTACCTGCAGCTCTGCCGGTCATGTCGTTCATGCATTCCTTATACTTCTTTGCTATCAGCGGGTATAGCGTGGTAGGTTTTGTGTCTTTGCCAGCTGCCACCAATGCCTCTGCTGTGGCGATGTGCATCACAGTGTCATCACTCACCATCCATTTTTTCACATCAATGTTTTTTAAGCCTCCTAGCTCAGCCAGTTCTGCATGAATTTGAGCGCCACTCTTACAAAACTCCCAGTTGCCATCCCTGTAACCCAGGGCATCACCAGCTGCACTAAGGACCATGGCAGCCTCATAATTTTTTACATGTCCGGAGCACATTTCTCTTCTGTAGAAAGTCTTATGGATCAGACCTGCAAATACAAGCTGGGAAATAAGAAGATATCATCAGATACTAGAAAAGATGCTATTCAAGATACAAGTATGTCTGCCAAGTCAGGGATATCAGTAAGTCTACAGTGGATATAAAAAGTCTACACACCCCTGTCAAAATGTCATGTTTCTGTGATGTAAAAAAATGAGACAAAGATACATAATTTCCAAACTTTGTCCACCTTTAATGTGACCTATAAACTGTACAATTCAATTGAAAAACAAACTGAAATCTTTTAGGGGGGAAGTGAACATAAAAGACAAAAAAAATGTGGTTGCATAAATGTGCACACCCTCTTATAACTGTGTTCAGAATTAAGCAATCACATTCAAAATCATGTTAAATAGGAGTCAGTACACACCTGTTGTGGACCTTTTGAATTATGTCTCAAAAACATGACTTTATCAAGACATAACATTATATGACAAGCAGCTCAGTATAGCCGGATGCTAAGAGTTAATTTTGTCTTGGTTGAACCCTCAAGGATTCTAGTTAAGAAATGGATAGAATGGGGGGAAGTGAGACTTTTCATAAGACAATAAGACTGTTTGGACTGTCAACCAGTACTATTTGTATATTGAGGTTAGAAGAATGCATATACAAAAAAGTCAAACAGATAGCCAGATAGGACTTCGACTTTCAAACATTTTAACAATAATGAGACGGGAACTCAACTGGTTGAAAGCTTACCCAAACCTTGTAGAGTGTGATAAACCAACAGACCTCTGAAACTATCACAATATACTATTGTCCACCAAGGGTGAAAGCATTAACAGTTGTTTACCATGATTCCAATACAAGAGCCAGGCAAACAGAGAGTTTTTCCCTACACATAGAAAATGTTGGTTCTAAAACAAAGAAGTGAAATTCAGGACATTTAAGTCTAAAAATTGACTGTATATAATTACAAAGATATACTACAAAAACATATTATAAATAAGATATTATAGATTTTACACACCACTAAATATTCAGCAATGGGAACTATATATCACTAACTTGAGTATTGAGATGATGGAAAGTAAGATGTATTATAAACTAGCATTAGTTACATGTCTTATCAGGAAACAAACAGGATGGTATTTCAAGAAGGAATAACTGAATATACACCTATATTCCATGGTCCCTATTTAGAATATTATAGGTATGATCACTTATATCTGGAAAAAGACGTATATTTGATCCCTGAAATTACCTTAAGATTCCACCCGAGGTATGAGTCATCTCAAATACTCAAATTGTTCTATGATACATGACCGCCACCTGGCGGGCAGGTGAGAAATAGCTTATGTACACACATTTCTCAACTAGCCAATCAAGAAGCCTGGTGGGAAGGTATCTTAGAACAATGGATTAGTGGATATAAAAGCCCTTGTACCTTTAAGAAAGAAAAGACTTCATCAAGAAAAAACCTCATCAAGAAAAAAAACTCATCAAAAGAAAAGACCTCAGCAAAAGAAAACCTGACTGAAGAGACCTCTGAATAACTACTCTTCCATACTTTCAAACTTCCTAAAACTTTAACTAAATTTCTAAACCTCTATCCTTATAACTTCCTACATTCTCCCATACTGAATCTATCACTTGCCCTATAATATCATTTCTAAAGGCGTTCCACTGCCAGCTAAATCCACGGGAGAGTTGCCTAGTCTGAATGCCGGGTGCGGTGAGATTGTTTATTTGATTTTGTATTACCTATTTTCTCTGTTGTGTGGAATCATAAAATTACCTTAGTGTATCACAACAATATTGGGTAGTTAGATATATGTAGAGAGATCCTGTTTTACTGTTATAAATTGTTTGTTGCCATATTATAATTTTTTCATATTTCATAATTTATTGAATATTAATAACCAGAGTATCATATATCAAGGGCTTGCTTCTTGCAATCCTATGGCCACGGCTTGTGAGAATATAACCTTTGAGATATTCGAAATTATTATTAATAATAAATAAATTTAATAAATAATCAGATCATTTAAAAAAATTGTGAGATTGATGTAATTAGTCAGAGACCTTATTATTGTGTCTTACATTGGTAGGATATATTTTTGATTGTGTGTACCAATATTCATTTATCACCAGTCTTTTGCGTTTTGTGTTAATATATATATAATTTTTGTACATAAATAAATTTTTATATTTATCTATTATAAGGCAAATTTTGTGTGTATGGTACGAAATCATATTGGCTAAAAGAATTCAAGGTATAATAATAAGTGGTGATCAAATTATCAAGGTGTCCAAATTATTGGTTTACTAAATATTTGCCGTATTTTAACGGCTTGAGGCACTGTAATATTTCATCTAAGGGAAAGGGACACGCCCTTTATAAATAATATATATCCTTACATAAACCACCACACACCTGACATTTAAAGTGCCTCTGATTAACCCCAATAAAGTTCAGCTGTTCTAGTAAGTCTTTCCTGACATTTTCTTAGTCGCATCCTACAGCAAAATCCATGGTTCACAGAGAGCTTCCAAAGCATCAGAGGGATCTAATTTTCCAAAGGTATCAGTAAGGAGAAGGGTACAAAAGAATTTTCAAGGCATTAGATCACCTGTGCGCTTTTTATTTTTCAACAAAAAAACGCCAAAAATTTTGAAGAAAAACAATATTTTTTTATTTTCAGCTATAAAAAATATATAGTAAACTCAAAGTTGGTTATAAATTTAGGCCAAAATGTATTCTGCTACATGTTTTTGGTAAAAAAAATCCCAATAAGTGTATATTGATTGCTTTGTGTGGAAGTTATAGCGTCTACAAACTATGGTATAGATAATGGAATTTACGCCATTTTTCTGCTATACAGCGCTGCGCTAGTTTAACGGACAATTTCGCGGTCATGCAATATGGTACATAAATGAAATTTACATCCTTTTTTTCCCCACAAATTGAGCTTTCTTTCGGTGGTATTTGATCGCCTGTGCGGTTTTTATTTTTTGCGCTATAAAAAAAAAAAGGCTGACAATTTTGAGGAAAAAAAAAACAATATATTTTGACTTTTTGCTATAAAACATGTCCAGTAAAAAAAAAATGCAAAAATCAAATTTAGTCATAAATTTCTGCCAAAATGCATTCTGCAACATGTCTTTGCTAAAAAAAAAAAAACCCAATACGTGTAAATTAATTGGTTTACGTGAAAGTTATAGCGTTTACAAATGGCGGGAAAGATACTGGGATTTTTAGTTTTTTTTTTTATACTAATAATGGCGGCGATCAGCGAATTATGGCGGCGATCAGGGACTTATGGCAGGACTGAGGGACTGCGGCGGACATTCTGACATTGGGGGGTACTGACTTGGGGTCACTGACATCCCCAAAAACACTAATACAGTGATCAGTGCAAAAAAAAAAAAACTGACACTGTACTAATGGCAATGGGGAGGAAGGGGTTAATTTTATTAAGCAGGGAAGTGTTTTACTAGGGGGCGGGGGTGTGTACTGGGCGGGACAAGGCTGATCGAGAAAGTGAAACTATTCTTTCTCGATCAGCTCATCCTCGAGCTGACAGAGAGGTGACAGACAGCACAGCTACTGCAGCTGTGCTCTCTGTCACCGTTTACCGCCAATCGCCGGGACATATAGCCGCTAATAAGCGGCTGTGACCCGGCAACTGACATCTGCGGCGGTGATCCACAGGACAAATAGGGCAGCAGCGCGCCTCGCGTGCGCCCCCTATTTGTTTACAAAACACACGTTTTAAAACGTGGTTTTGCCTGCGAGTGCCGCCCTGCCGCTGTATATGTACAGTGGCTGGGCGGCATGCGGTTAACAGGGGTGTGTAGACTTTTTACAGTATATCCACTGTATATATTATAAACTGGAACAATTCAAAAGTTTGTATGTTGTCCTTAGCAACCAAGAAATGTAATTTTATTACAATAAGCATTTGAGTTTAAAGTGTTACTAAACCCAGGACCCTGCATTCACTCTCTCTGGTGTCCCACAGTACACGGAACATGAAAAAGCAATTATTTTAGTAATTAAAAAAAGGCTAAATACCTTTTCTCATCAGCAGTTAGAGCAGTCTTGTGACTTCTATCAGTGTCCAGCAGAGCACTGGTTAAAGCTTGTAGGAGGAGTTTTCTTTCTGCTCTAGGAGGATGCAAAACCCCTGACCTCTGTCTGGACAGTGCTGATTGGCCCTGTGCTGATAACATGCACTCTCTTAAGAAAAAAAAACCCTCTCTAGAAATACACACCAAACAGAGCTTGTGCAGATTGTCTCCACACTATGTCTTATCAGGAGATAAGAGGGGGGCACTGGAAGAAGGGGAAGATTAGAGAAGTCAGGATCAAACAGCATTTTTACACAATGCAGAGGATTAACCCCTTAGGTTCCACAGTGAGTATACCAAGCATGCTTTATGAAAGGATCTAGATAACCTCCATTTTGTTGATGTACGCCATTTTAAGTATTAAGTTAGCTTTTTGCAGATATATTAGAAGTGTAATAAAACTGTTTCAGTTTGCTCAAGAACGTATAAACAAAAGATAAAATGTCCCTGAGCTTTCTATGTCCAGCCAATTCTCAGAAAGCTAGCCGAAGCAATTTATACCAAGAAATGTATATGTCATGTTTTCATGTAGTTAGCTCATGATGGAAACTTACAAAGTTGCAGTTTTGAAACTCGCTACCCCCCCCCCCCCCCCCCCTATTTTTTATGTATCCTATATAACCTTAGTAATGTCTAATAAACTTTGAGCATCTGTGAACATAAGCTGCCGTTATTTCCGTGTTCATAGGGTGTTCCCAGAATTCTGCTGATAAACCAGGAATCTCTCCACAGACTGGGGGTCTCTGAGGGGATAAAGAAAATCGATCCTTTCACTTTACTGCATATACAGACTGATTTTACTGTTGTGGGTTTAGTAGCACTTTAAGGTATTCATTGATATTAGATA